CTTTTTCCTCAGTACAACCATCTGTCGCCGAAACTGACAGACAAGTGCCGGAAAAGGAGGCGCGATGGTTAACACGTTGACGACAGCGTGCATTTTTAGCTGTCTGCCTTGTGGGACAGTGCCTTCTACAGTTAGTTGATATTTTTAGCTGAAATGAAGCAGGCGTCATCTGCAGTATACTTACAGTGATTTTGAGAAGCAGCTAAGAAACGCGGAAGTAATTCCTAGGAATAAAGAATAACAGAACTTTCAAAACCACAGTCATTGCATCACCCACCATGTGAGTCACATTGTCGTCAATGTGTTAAATCACTTCTGTTTCAGCTAAATCTTGTGAACAGAGCAGGCCAAATTTTCATTTTCCAAAGACAAAAAGTTGCGGCATCAACGATCCTTGAGGGAACTCTACCTTCAAGTGTAGGTTCTATCCTCAGAATTCATCCCCTGAGAGCGATTAACCCTATTCACGAACGTGACTCATCTGGGTGAATCAAATCTTAGCATAGAGCAAGATTAGATTCACTCTGACGCTTCGTACAAACAGCAAGTGATCTCCCGATGCACTATCCAGTCATAGCGATATTGTTTTGACAACAAAGGCATATCCATGTTTACTACTATCTCATAGTTTCTATGGTTTTTTGGTGCTTTTTTCAATGTTATCATCCACTATCAGATTCGATCGACTTATAACAGTTAAGAGTTTAGTTTTGAATTAAGTACATGTTCAAATAAGGGCATTGATGAGAGGAACATTAACCTCAATATCTCGGAACGATTTTCGCAATATGGATTTCCCTCATTCAAACTTTAGCCCAACAACACACTCGTTTAGAAAATGACTTGATGCATGGACAAACTACCGTAGCTCAAATAAACTTGTTGACCAACAAAGTACTGAAGAAATTTGGTCCTAGTTTTCGTAATACGATTAGACGAGTCGAAAAGAGGACTTGGGAAATTAGATAATAATAATTAGAAAATGTTTGTTGTCAGTTAAGACTGAGTGGTGCATCGAGATATCACTTTATATTTGTACGAAGTCAGGGTAAATTTAATGTCGCTCTATGCTAGAATTAAATTTACCCTCATGTGTCACGTTCGTGAGTATGGGTCAATCTTTTTCTGAGGTAAGGTTTACCCTAAAGCGCAGGTTCAACCCTTGAGATTAAGTCTAGCCTATGCTTCGTGAATATGGGTTTTATGTTTCCTGGGGTAAAACTTACCCTCAACGGTTAGGTTTACCCTTAAGGTTTGTTGATGAATGCGGCCATTGATATCTCAAAGCAAACATATCTGGAGATATATAGCAGAAACACCACCGCTTCTGAAAAGAATGTGGTAAAAAATTCTTTTTAAATACTACAATCAACAAGTATCGCTACTTCATTTTGAGCTGAAATCATAGTGAATTGCCGGTTTCATGCGTTTCTGGAAGAGGGCGGGGCTACAGCGTACGCAGACTGCTCTGCGTATGGTGCTAGATAGGTACTAGTCAGGTTTCCGCTAGTCTATGACCAGGGTCAGGCGTGGGGTGTGGCATGCCACACCGGGGGTCGTATTAAGGAATCAGGATGGGGGGTCATTATCAAGATCCGCTGTTCGCATAACATGATATTCGTTAACATTGTCAAATAGGCCCGTCATGCAAAACACTAGCGCATAATTAAAGATCTATAAAGCATAAGAGCATCGTTTTGTAATTAGCAGGTAAAATGACCCCTGTGGTCCAAGTTTCCGCGAATTCCGAGGTTTCTAAATACAGGGCCACCTAAGTGAGATGGTCGTTTTCAAAAATGTTACGTTGTTTCAAAGTTAAGTTAACAACCTTCTTTTTGCGCTTAATACAAAGAACTACTATTTCTTTGCTCACATTACGAATCCTACTTCAAAAACCTCCAAATTAAGGAATCAAGAGCAAGTCAAAATCTCGTTCATGTCATTATTCGTTTTCAACATCTCGGGCTAGAGAAGACCAATCAGGCTCAAATCACTTTAATGTAGATTACGAGGCTTAGGCTGTCGAATATATACATTCTTGTCGCCTTCCCTTGTGATTCACGTAGTAGCGCAGACTTAGCATGTTACCGTATCCCAAAATTTTCGCAGTATTTTACCAGTATTTTACATTTGCATGGGTAAGGAAAAACGATTATATCTTGCTCTTGAAGAAGCGTTCTCATATGAAATTTTTGCTATGTAAAGAAGAAGGTAAAGCAGTAACAACAATATAAAAACGCAGCTATTTGATCGGTTTTAAAGTAAGTTAATGGGGTGTGGCACCACCCCTAAAAAACTGTGGCAGCCACACCTTTTTAGGGTTGGTGCTAGACCCCATTAACTATATCAAAAAACATTTCTAGCGAACAATATTTATATGAATCGATAGCCTACACCTTGTAAATTTCATAGAAGTGATTTGAGCCTGATTCATCTTCTTAACTCTGAGTAATATTCTGTGAAAGCACAACCATAAAAACCGAAAAATGGAAAAAAACGAGATTTCGGTTGGCTTCTAAATCCATAGTTTGGAGGTCTTTTGAAGCGGGTTTGGCATGGACAAAGAAGGAGTAGTGCTTTGTCTTGAGGACAAAAACAGCTAGCTACTTCACCTTTGAAACAAAGTTAATCATGCTGGAAAATGGCGATTTAACTTAGGTGACCCAGTATCCAAACATCAGAATTTGCTCAAACATCGTCTACAGGGGTTAGTTGACGCGCTAATTATGGATATGTTGCCCTGTTTGACACGGCCTTCAAGTAATGCTATCTTAGGTATACAAGGTGTCCCAAAAGTAAGTACACACTTTTCAATCGTTAATATCTCTCTTCCCATTGCGTCTTTTTTCGCAATTTAAGTACCATTCTGTAGAGGAGGCTTCAACTTAGATTATCGGTATTGAGCGAATCATCGACCCCATCTCATTACTGTAGGATAACTGTAGAAACTTCGACAAGGATTTTAGGCCATTGGAAGCCATATTCTGCCTCGGAACAAAACCAAACAAGCTAAAAGCTCTTATACTAAGGTAACGGAAGCCGCTGATTTCAAATATTAACTTTCTACTTTACTATGATGCTTCATTCTAAAGTTATCCCAGGTAAGCCGTAATATCCAAACTCTTAGTATTTGTCAGAAATGTGATTACACCGTCAAAAAAGCTGAAAACACTCACGAAAAGTTGTGTAGTGGAATCAGCGTGTGCGAAAACCTTAGTACACTATTTTTCAGATTTTTTGAAAGAAATTTTGTCAGATGGCATATTTCACAATAGTTCTACTTGCTGGAAGTTCTTACCGTAATCCTACAGTGATGAAGAGCGGTCGGTGATTCGCTCAATACTGTAAATCTAAGTTGAAGCCTCGTCTACAGAATGGTACTTAAATGGCGAAAAAAGATCCATTGGGAAGAGGAATATTGACGATTGAAAAGTGTGTACTTACTTTTGGGACACCCTGTATATTCAGGAGGTTATATTGAGACAGCAATAAGAGGGGGTAGGGTCGTAACCAGCGATCGTGTGCCACACCTCTTGCTAGACCCTGTTTATGACCCTTTTTGTCTTCTGCAATCACGCTGAAGTCCGTCTTTTGGGCACCTAAGTTTCTCACCCTTTAGAAACACCGTAAAACTATGGGCGTTTTGGGCGGTCATGACCGTGTCTTCTTTGAGTTGTGACGACTTTGGGGGAATTACTACTGGCCCTGACCTCTCCTACGTTGTTCTCAACATGTGACGATAATGAGTGAAAGCCTTCTTCCTTCATCAGCAGTTTATTTGAAACATCTGAAGGAGTTGCCTACTTTTGCCGGCTTTACCACTACCAACACAAGTCTATCTTGGACATCATTGACTGCAGAATGCTCTGAAGAAATACAAATGAGCAGCTTGATAGTAACGGATTTGGTTCAAACTGGAAATATTTTCCTACGAATTTATTAGATGTTTTCTGATAAGAAGTCAGAGATTCTAATTAGCCACATAAACCCTTGCAAAGTGGCAATTTTTGGTGTAGCTGTATCTGTATTCTTCAGCAGGCTCTATGTAGCACCTGATTGAATAACATTATAACACGTCGTTCTAAAAGCTTTTTTTTTGAATCAGCATCACATTCCAGTGGAACAAAAAATGTGGAACAGAGATTTCTTAGGGAGCCAGTGAAACTCGACGCAGTTT